TTCGAACCGATCGGCAAATAGCGATGTTAGACTGGATCCCATGTGCACGATGATGCGTTTAGGTGACGCAATAAAGATGAGTCATATCCTGCTTCAATTGCAGACAAGAAAGCCACTCATGACGGATGCAAGACACTCGTATCAAGTCCAACAGGAAACTGATGCTTACGAAAACGGCCAGAAGCAATGCATTACCCTAACAAACCTTCGAAAACGTCATCATGCCTGGCAATGGCACTTCTGCAGATATAATTTTCAGCTCAAAGACTGACCGAAAATGACACAAAAGTATGTTCATGTGTAAATTCTCTGTGTGCATATAACAAAATAAATATTGGTTAGACATCTGTAAAGCACCGGAAATTTATTTCAATCTCTTAGAATTTCGTCAGCTGTGTCAATCCATCGACCTTAAACCAAAAGGGTAGCCGCTAAAGGATTGTGAGTTTTGGCTAAAACTTGGTGAGAAAAGTTGTAGACCAATCTGTTAATGACCAAATGCATCTTCCAACACCCGGATGAAAAGATTCTTCCTGTTCGGAGGCTTGTTTATCTGAGTTCATGCTCATAATAAGCAAGAGATGAGGTTTTTTGAGCAAAACTCTCAACGGACTCTTCATTTTACAAACCTTCCGAGAATAATTCCTACCGCTAAAGCCACTTCCTGTTAAGCTTTCCCCGTTCAAGTAGTATTCTGATTGTCAGGAGCAAATTAAACTATACACTAGCTACCCCATCTGACAGAGCCCACGCGATACCAGATGCTCTCATATGAGCACGCTAATCTGAGCGGATCGACGAGCGGATTGCAAGAGTCAGGGTTTGAATGAGCTCATTTAATTATGAATGAGTACGTAAACACACAACGGAGAAGTGATGGTAACTTGCTCCAACTGCCTCGATATATCGGTCACGAAATCGTGGTTCGTTCGAAAATTGCATATGCTGTCTGTTCAGTCTTTCTGACCAAATGTGGTTTCGACAGAATGAAAGTAAAAATGCTGAATTATTCGAGAAAATGAGGAGGCTCCCATCCACTTATCGAACACTATATATGAAGGTGGGTATTTTTCAACACGTATTAAAACCATTCTGTTGTGTGTAATGAACGGAAGTCCTTTGTCACCCGACGGTAGGTTGTACTTTTATTCTCGTCACTTTGACGGCGATCACCTTCTAGATGTCGGTGCATATACCTGATGTGCATCTGTCTCAATTACTTGTGAGAAGTGGTATGGAATGATTGTTACTGATTTCAACTGATCGCCCTTCAGACTTCATCTCCACGCACGATCCCAAATTCATCCAGTCATTAAAGTCAAGCATTTGCTTTATGCATCCCGAAAGGTGGATATTCAGAATATTCAGTCGTATACTCGGGAAGCACTGGAATTGAGTTTCGCTCTTGACAGAGCTCATCAGTTGGGTATGTCCAACGTCTCATCCAACGCTTGAACTCTGGACCCATCGCAAGAAAGGCGCTTGTGTTACAACTGTGTAGACCAGTTCACATCGGAGCTGACCAGAATTACTGGTTTGCATTTGTCCCCACTTGATTTTTAAAAGCAGGCAGTCATTTCATTGACTAATCCACAACTAATCGTAAGCGTCTGAGTCACAAAGAATCCTAGGAAACAATGTACACTATTCACAACTCAGTTTATTGGCCGAACAACACATTTACTGAAATCGAGATTAAGAACCTAAAGTCTCATTGGCCAGAATGATCCCAACACTACGTATCTATAATAGAACTACTTTCGGGTTAGTCGCAGTAACACAGGTCCCCGTAACCACTGCGGTTAAACCAACCCTAATTAACTTCAAGCTTGCCAAAGTATCCCTAGATTCGAAAAAGAGAAGCCAGTATAGCAACATTGAACTTCTCCTTTCAAATTTATCACAGTAAAAGCTGGTTTCAGTTTCTTGATATCCCTAGATAGTTTAGTGTGATCTTAAAGATTACCGTCTTCGTTTTTAACACCCTGTAGTCCAATGTTTAACTTTACCACGGAAGGAAGCGTTTCAAAGAAGTGAGAAATATTAACGTGACCTCACATTATTTGAACCCGGAGTGAACGCAGACCATTTTACTTACAAAACTATAATATTTATCCAACATAAGTGAAACAGCCTAAATATATAACTCACTCTATCAGGTGTCGGATCGTCCGACGGTCGAGAGTGCTCAGGAAGTGGTATTGTCTCCGTCGTATCCGGAGAATATCTGGTTGATTGGCTATCCGAGTCTCCCGTCATATGTGCTTCCAAATTGTGATCGAATGTTTTTTCACCGGGTATGTGGGATTTGAGCACAGGTTCGTCGGAATGGACAGCCAGTGAGAGTTGTTCCAGTGTGGATTCCAAAGTCGATTGGGACATTGTGTGGTGAGCACAAATGACAATGGGATGCTGCGTTTCGTCAACGAATTCCGGTCGATTCGAGCGGGCTGACAGGACGAGATGGTACAATGAAATAACTCAGATGTGTGTGTGTGTGTATTTCAAGAGGAGGCCATATAACTACAAACAAACATATCCAAGTGCCCGGATTCCGGCTTGCTGGTTGCACACATATATATGCTACGATCTTATGTAAAAATCGAAAGACTAATGCGATATCCTGAGCTCAACTTTTGCATATGGGAACCATTTTAAAATCGATTCCGATCCCATGGATTTGTTTTAGCATGATCTAGGGGCACCAATGATATTGAAATTTCAGTTGCATTTGCACTTTTTATAACTCTTTCAGACACGTGGTCACGCGTCAGTGAAAAACAATCGCTCCAAATAAGACGATCACATTGGATTTGTACCACTGATATAAATCTGATGGTTTGAAACGCATTTTAGAAATACATTTGCGATAAAAGTCAAAAGATTGGAACTTAGTGCAGTAAAACTCGGGGTTCAGTTCATTCACAATCTTCTATTTGACTGTTTATATGCAAGCGAAATGGAGTTCCTGTAAAAGTGAATGCAAGAAGGACAACAACCAAAGGTATTCCTGGGGTAGAGGGGAAGATCGGAGTGAAATAGAAGAGTATTTTGAAAAACGTATCTTGTGGAAAACTTGATGACATAAGTCCGATGTATCCGTCAATAGGCTCACTAGCCATTTTTGGCGAAAATGAGAGAAAGATGATTGCTGATGATCATACGGCTATGCCGTGGAACCTTAAAATTCTGTTTTATACGTGTCCAGGACATATGACTGGAAAACAAGGTCGTAGAATTGGGAGAATGTATAGATGATTCATTGTGAGGTCTCAAAATGTTTGAGTTTACGATTACGATACAACAATTGTTATTTCTTCACATGCACATGAATGTGTGAAGTCTCTTAAATCAGTCTTACAATTCATTCCCAAATGTTTGTTAGAGCCAACGTCAGTGAGAAGAAGTTGTGATCAATTGTTAGATTGCCTTGTGCAACTATTCACCGTCACAAGACCAACGTACATTCCGGATTTGTGGATGGACTTAATATAAGACCAAATTTATTCAAAAATATCACTAATGAACACATTTTGCAAAACTTTATGGAAATTATTAGAATGGCAGACGAATAAAAGCAAAACAACGTTATCAGTACACTCCGAAACTTGATCATGAAAGGNGGAAGATCTCGAATTTACGCGTAAAACAAATATTGAAGAAACAGAAAAGCATCTTAGAGCACTCCAAATCTATACCTGATGCTTGGCAGAAACCATGTCTATCCTATGATAGTTTTAAGCGAGGTTAATAAATTACCTTGTTTGGCAGATTGAAGTCATATACTTTGATTGTGAAAAGCTCTGCCCGACAGCCTAACTGAAACAAGTAACGTTACCTTAGAAACTCTTTCAATGGATTCCGATGAATGCTAAGGAAAACCCGACATGTCGATCAGCTTACATGCTACTTGGTGAATTCTATGTGGCTGCGTAAGTTGGGTGAGTAATCCAAGTGTGAAAAGCTCAGCACTATCGATGTGGTCTCATAACTCATCTGGTACAGGGTGTGGTGTACAAAAGCGTAGGCGTGCGCGGGTGGGTTCGAATCCCACCGAGGCTATTGTAGTTTTTCCAATCAGAACTTAACTCTTCAATGAGCCAAACGACGTACCTTGAACAAGCAGATGCTCATGTCGAATCTGGGTTCACTCATCACAGTCAGTAAGATAGATTGAAGTAGATGCATTACCTTAGCGTATATTAATTTCATGGTTCACCAAGTCGTTTTTTACTTTTCCTGTATGTAGCTATATTGGTTATCGGAGATTTCCTTTTGTTTCTGACCGCTCCAGGTCAACATGTTAATTTGAGTAGCCATTGGAGAGGTCAAACTTAATGGTCCGTTAGGCCAGTCAGTATGCTCAATCAGGCATTTTGTGTCAATCACACAAAAAAAACACTTGATTCCGCTAATGAGGCGTGATTAGCACACACTCACAACGACGGTAAATAAATGCTAACCGGGCAATCAATACAGTCCGGGATAACGCGTAATATGTGTCGTGACAAGTTGTACCCATTTGCTTGATGTGTGGGCTAAGTCAGAGAGATTAGTAACAGGAGCGATTGGAATTGGCATCTTTTTGTTGTTGTTGTCGTTGTTGTACGCAAACACAGGTTCTAGACAGACGACACGGATGAATTCAACCCCTTGGGCATTTCCTCTCAATCCAAACGTGACCTTACAAGCAGGGCAGGTTTACGCACGAGAAACCTGAACACATTTCAGATTGTTATTTTAATGCAGATGACTTTAAAAATACAGAGATGGTAAAATTCCGAGACGTAGACACGCACAAACTTGGTCAAATGTGCGTGTTTGTGTACGCACACGCGCACGGATTTGCGTGGAAGCCAAAGTGGGACTACTTATTGCGTAGACCCGCACTACAACCACCACCCATCTGTATATCATCACAGTGGAAAACACGATAGACAATAGTACCAGCTTGACTCAAATCGTAGCCCGGAGAATCCCATTTCCTGTCACGAATTCCCGTCTTCGTCCGTTCTGATGTTGTGTTACGCGTATACACCTCTTGTCGAGGAGCAGAAGAGATAATCTCGTGCACGAGAATCCCGTGTTTGGGGTGTGCTGTGCGTGTGTGTCTACAGTCTATCTAATCCAAGTGGGAGGAGCAAGATCAGGAAATAGAAGCATTAGAGCCACCACCAACAACAACCAGAAGAAAAACTCAAAACAATAGTGTTCCATTTCCGGTGTTCATGCAGCTGGTTGCGTTCTGGCCATAAATTAGGGTCATCGCTCTGAGAATCAATCCTTAACTTCAAGCAGGGGTCTAAATCTAACCGAATCTGGCCACCCAACCAGTTGGTCAACCAATCGTCACACTTAACTGACATCACACATCCGTTATCGTAAGGATGCTCGTCAGGAGGAACAACAACAACAACAACAACAGCACTAAAACCCAGAAGCATCAGCATCATCATCATTCAAAACATATAACTAATAGACAGCTGTGCCATTTGCAGACACGTGACTAGCATGAGAGATGTACCCATGCATATCTATCGCTCACTCTCGCCCCGTCCCGATGATTCGCATTCCGAGTCCTTTAACTCGGTCTATAATCCGGCCAATCTGTCCAATCGATCTCTACGAAATTCAGTGCATATCATTGTGATATACTTCTGGCGACTTACCGATTCTAAAATGCATGTTTCTCAGAAAACAGAAAAAATTCATTATTAAACAAGAAAGTAAACTTTCCTTATGGGTAGGGTAGCTAAATCCCCTTCGATTAGCAGTTCGGTCGACCTGTGCTGTTGACAATTAACCAGTCAGATCAGACTCCTGATAACTAGGTAGATGGTAAAACGGCGTGAACTCCGAAGTCACAAGAAAGTAATATTTGGTTATGAGAAGCGACCCCTAAGAGACTAGGATGAGTGAATTAGACAACACCCAGATAGGATAGGCCAGATGATAAAAAACTACCAATGGTGGGTTCGATCCCGCAGCACTTCAGTGATTGCAACTTAAAAAGCTTGATTAACGGAATGATATATAATTGGTGTTCGACAACTTTTAAACGATTTTTTCTCGGTTCTGCATACAATTTTATTACATTCAGCATGAAAGTACACTCCTATGTATTTGTTCTATCTGGCCCGAATATTAATAGCTTGACTTTCTGACATACCAGTGATAGTAGCCAAGCTCGGTACCTGTTCAAATCCTATATGATTCATTGATCTTCTAAGAATTAACAGAGAAACCATGATTTAATAACCCCAGTTTAAGAGAGGAATGAGGAAACAGAAACCCTTCTGAAAAGAATCTCAGTTAACCAGAAGATGTATATCTTATATGTTTTCAGCTAATACCAAATGACTCCATTTCATTGTTATGTGCATTAGGCTTTCCAAATCTCAGTCAATTTCTAATTTTTCTCAACCTTGATCTTCGCGTGCAATCCACACTTCTTCCAGTCAACCGCGCACTCAGAACGCACTAGATAGGAGTTCGGCTCTCGTTGGAACTCATCAGTGGTGCCCTGTTGGGATTTCAACTTCGGACCCCTTACATGGATGGCGCGTCTATTACCACTGTCACTAAGGTCACTTGTCTTTTCAAGGTCAGATTGGGTAATGTTGTCCGAATCTGCATGGGTGTCCTGATTTGGTTATAGGCCGCCAAATGGAGGTACCGCTAATGTTGGGTCCAATGAACCGAAAGATTATTAGTAAATACGACAACTGAACCTGAATTGGCAATTCTGGTCAATCTCGGTGTGAACTGGTTGGCAAGGTGACGACACATGCATCTTCCGTGTGAGAGATCTAAAGTTCAAACACAGGACGGGCGATCGTATATGCACTAATGCTTAGCTCTATTTTAGCTCAATTTTAGCGCTTTCCGAGTGTATGATTGACTGGATTCAATGAGGATTCAGTGAGGAAATCTAAGTTGAATGATGGTCAGTTCAAACCAATATCATCTCTCCCACATCATCACTCACAAATAAATGCAGTTGGATATTTAAGAGGCATAGTAACAATGATACTGCTGGGTTATCTAAAACCCGTCGGACAGGCACTAGGTACTGTATTAGACGCACGATATTAGCAACAAAAAAGTTATTTAAAATATTCGATGGCAAGACATATTTTTGTTGGGCATAGCAACTGATTAACCCGAAAACAGGTTCAAATTACTATTTGGCAGTTGTAAGAGCTTTGAACATCAGGTCTGTTCCAATGTTTTTTTTGTTTAAGGTGAGTCCTTCGATAATCTTGTTTATAATAATATTTATTACAATTTTAACATTTTAATGGCATTATCTTATCTTTTTGACGAAAACCTTTACAGGTGCGAATTGTGCGTTCCATGGATGAGAAACAGGGTCCATGCTGAAAGTATAACTCCGCGCCACAACAGAGGACTTAATCTGAACTGATTAGTAGCAAGCATTGAAGAAGTTCGTTGCTAAAACTGGTTATCTGAAAATCATTCTACCTTTTACGCCGTCTACTCTACAGTCAAGATTCAGCAAGCAGGGTGCAACGAGTCTCAAGTTACTTGAGGGGGAATACATGTGAGAAAGTTTGGTGGTAGTGGCAGGATTCGAATACACGATTTTCTGTCTTTAACGTTAACTATTTTAATCCACCACAGCCGGCGTACTTTTGTCAAGACAGGCGCTCTCAATCATGTGTCGCTTGATTTATTCCCTTGTACTTTATTTGCAATAGATATAAATAACGATGACTATTATTCATTTGTTAATCGAGTCTCATTTGTTTTTGACTGACAATGGTCATTCAGCTAGTGTGTTGATCGGTTGATGAATTCCAAACCGAGAATCCCAGTGGACTAGGTGAGCTCCGAAATGCACGGATATGTAATAAAAGCAATTCGAGATACAGATAGCTAAGTTTCCCTTAGTATAAGACAAATTGCGACACAGACGCATCCGGGAGGAAAACGTGGTCAATACAGCCATTATTTACGGGACATAGTAATAACTTTCCCCGGAAAATATGAGTTGATGTGTATGGTATACAGCTCGTTAATGCCTTTGCGCGTGCGTGGTTTGGACAAAGAGCGAGACAGAAATATATTGCAAACATGTCTTTGTGCAACGGAGCTTGGTCTGAGCTAATGCATAAGTTTGATCTGTACCGTTTTAAAATAGTTCCATTTATATGCCGAAAGTTAATATTTTCACCGTAGATCAATGTCACAACATCTAACCGAAGTAGAAAGTGGCAAAGTTGACCATAAGATCTCAAGTAAAAAGAAAACAGTTGACCCCTGTAGGATAAAGACTACAATGACAAAAGACAACGAGTATCGGGGCCTTTTGTTAAAGTTCTAGTATGAAGTGTCAATTTGGAAAACACAGGTTTTGTACTACTTTAAAATGTGATCGACGAATTCACATTTTCTATAACCCATCGTATCTCATCTCAGCCAGGAGATCATATACATACATGTACATATATAAATGAACGTATCGACGTATAGCTCACCAAGGTAACACAAGCCATGGAACAGCATCACGTGTCACATATAAAATACTCCAGGATTCGAACCACTTCAGGCAGATTGTATAGAGACTTTTCATATTTCTCGAAATTGATTATTTTTCCTTCATTCCAAGAAAATATTGACTCTAGTCTACTTTACTTCTTTGTCTTGAATATCCACTCAGGTTGTGCTGATTTCTCACTGAATCCTGAATCTGATTTCCATTGTCACATATTCTTTAATTAGCCACCTCCCTTTTTTGTTTCGTGCCAGTCTGTTCTTAAACCTGATCTTGATATTAACAAATATAGCTACTTTTCCTAACTTGACCATGTCAAATTATCCAATCCAAATGTGAACTTCTTGTTGCACTAGTACCACCATCACCGCCACCAGCCCAAATTACTCAAACATGATCAGAGCCTGAAGTAAATCCAGTTCCAATCGACGAGTGACTCCGAATGGACTAATTCCCCCTTTTACGATTTCACTTTGGAATGAGTCCACCGCAAGACAGGTTTTTGGCGGAACAATAAAACAAGTTCTACAGGTTCATAAATCCCGTTTAGCCAAACTTGCTCTCCATATACTTTCATTTCCCGTTAACACGTTTTGCCCTCACTGTCAAGACCGTTTGTAACTAGCTTGATTGCACCAGTCTGTTTTTCAATTCAAAGTGACCTTCCTTAAATCAAATATAAAATAGCATATATGAATTTCCTCAAGTAACATTCGCTGTATTTGGCCTGGTTGTTTTGACTGTGGATTTTAATTATCAGAAATTCTCACATGGCTTCCAACGAGCTGAGTTGGACGCTACTGGGTTTGAACTGTCGCCGTTATAAATCGATGTGCCAATGAAAATTGGTTGGATCACTCAATGAATGAAACATCCCCATCGAGAGATGAGTAGGCTGATTTTATGTTGTAACTAGGTACCAATCGAGTCAGCTAGGTGCAACTCACGTGACCACAACTCGATACGATATGTCATAATGTGTGGGCCATTTAATCAGGAAACAGCGTGATCTAATCTTTCCTTATACGTCCGAACCAGATCTGTTGAGCTTAAACCCGGGATATTTGTTTGCAGGGAAACGAGAAAAAATGCCCTGAATGGCTTACAGAGCACTGTGTTTACCCGCAAAATCCAAATGCCATTTGATCAACAGGATCTAAATAAAATTCTACTTGAAGTACGATGGCTGTCGTGTGTTTGTTATCCGTGGATAGACTGAACTGTACAATCAATCTGTCATGTGACCAAATGATCGTTGAAAACTGAAAAGATCAAATAAACAAATAACGCACCTTTGGAATGAGCCCCATTTTACCCATGTTCAACAGTTGTCTCATCTTCAACCCATGGGCAAGATGCAGTGATAACTGAAACTGTACTTCGTTAGTTCGAATTTTCATTTACCAAAATATCCTTTATTCTCGTTCTCTAGAATAACTATCTTTGTGAATCTTTACTACATACGCATCAACAAGATGTGGGATTTGGGCGAAGTCACACCACAGACTGTCCAAATAACCATTAACTATTCCCCCAGACGATCACCGTTATAATGGATCCTAGGTGGCAGATTCATCAGCCGTCAGTTTCAACATGTGCACATATATCCCGCGTTGAGGCCCAACCCCGCAGATGTCAATCACCAATTCAGCCAGAAAGTCAATCATGACCGGTACACTCAAATTGTCCTTTCGCGCTGATGTAGGTGCGGGTTGTAAAATCCACTTAGTTGTGTGTCGGACTGTGTGGAGTGATCTTTCCGTTCGGTACACTTGACGCGCTTGGCCTAAGTAGATTGACGCGTCGCTTAGGTTCAGAGATGGAAGGAGTGGGTAGTAGTATCGACTCCCCACTCAAATGACCTTTACGACTAGATTGTCATTAACATCTTCATCGGGAACGTCCGGAGATGCCAAGCGACTGGTTGGTGTGTCTGGACAGAGAACTTGATGTCACTCGGAAGACCAGTCGTTGCATCTTGAAAACAAAGTTTCAAGAGCCGGTTAAGAACATTCGGTCAATAGTATACCGTCCGTTTGAGCTGGAATGCCTAATTGACATCTAATTGTATGAGCTGTATCCAAGGGGCATGAAAAATGTTATAGTTGAAGTGGATGGAGAACGACCGGACAGGCGCGTGGATAGACAAACGTATCGGTTAACCTCA